ACAATGCCAGAGAGTCCACCCTTCCAAGCAGCCGTTTTCTCCAGGCGAGCTGACCTCTGTCAGCCAGAGATCAGTTGTAAAAGCGGGAGATCTCCAGGCCCCACCTGGAGGCTGGCAACCCCACTGTCGTAGGTGGGTAAAGACTAGCGCTTTTTTTGCCATTACTGCGATATATCAAGGCAAGAGCCGCTCCGAGGTGGTCTGCCCTTGCCTGCCTCTGTGTAGTGATCCTGGACTTCCTTGGTGGCCTCCTTTCCAAATACTGACCGGGGCCAAAACTGCTCAGCTTCCGAGATCTGACGAGATCAGGCTAGCCTGGGTTATCCAGGTCAGGGCCCAAACTTGTTTTGAAAAAGATATTGCCGTGTAAATGCTGCCTGCCCTCGGGGGTCTCCTCCCTCAGCCAGGGCGATAGGGACACACCAGGGCTGCTGGGATCTTGGAATGTAGGCGAAAGGCCTCAGCCAGCCGGCAATAGCCGTTCTCAGGAGTCGCTCCTTTTTTCTGTCTCTCTTGTTCCTGGCAGGTTCCCACCACCCCCTCCTCCTCTATCCCATCTTCCGTGCCTCCTTTGATAGACCAGCTCCACCACCCCTTTCCCATTACCAGAGTGGTTGCCCTTCACATCCCTCCACGTCCAGAGCTCTTTTTGTAGCAGGAGCTCCTTTGCATATTAGGCGACACGCCCCTAATGTAGCCAATCCTCCAAGAGCTTACAGTAGCCCCTGTAAGAAGAGCTCTGTAAGCTCTTGGAGGATTGGCTACATTAGGGGTGTGTCGCCTAACATGCAAAGGAGTTCCTGCTACAACCCATGACCCTTTTCCATTGGACAGGACCATCTGGTCCTTTAAGTCCCTAGTCCCGCCTTCTTTCAGTGCAGCCCTGGGCGGGGTTGGCATTCCCCTCCTGCCCTTTCCTGCTGCTGTGCCCCAGACAAGCCGCATCCTCCCATCTCTTCCTCCTCCACCCGCAGTTGGGCCCCATGGCCCCACAGCCTGGCTCGGCCCATTCTTGGGACACCAGCGGCGCGCGCTGGCATCTCCTCGCTCTGGGAGCCCGGCTCCCTCCGCCGCTGCTCACCGTGGGGACAGCCCTGTCAGTTCCCGGGCAGCCAGGCACCACCCCCACCATCGAGCTGTCCCGACTCAGAGCCAGAAGGGGCGGTATGGGCCGTCCCCATGGCACTCCGGTATGGCGTTGGCTCCTGATGCTGCCCGGCCCCTAGGCTCACTCTCCGGGCCTGCAGGTAAATCCAGACCCGGACAGATATTAAGTGTATCTCTCTGGAGCCATATAGTTATCTCTGAGGTTCAACCTACACGGGTTGTATGACTGGCGCCAGTGTTTGTTGTTCTTTCAGGCAGTAGGTGATGTGAGAGACCTCTGCCTGTGACCGTAGACAGCCGCTGCCAGTCTGAGTAGACAATAATAGAAGAAGAAGAAGAGATTGGATTTATACCCCGCCCTTCACTCAGGCTTCGAGAGAACTATGGCTTGCCCAAGGTCATCCAGCAGCTGCAAGTGGAGGAGTGGGTAACCAAACCTGGTTCTCCCAGATTAGAGTTGATGCACTTAACCACTACACCAAACTGACCTTGATGGACCAAGGATCCGATTCAGTCATAAGGCAGTTTCATGTGCGTTCCGCTTCCAAGAGCTGACAAGATTGGGCTAGTCTGGGGCCATCCGGTTCAGGGAGCCACAGAGCGATAGGTGTGTAAAAGACACTCTCTGCCTTATCACAACCCCCTTCGCAATCCAGCGCTGGATTTTCTGTTCTCCCACCGCCTCAGACCTCCTCTCTTGCCTCTGTAGACTGACCACAGCCAGCAAGAGTTTTCCCAGGACCCCCATCGTCAGTCCTCTTGAGGACCTTGGATCTCGCACCATACCTGGAAAGAGAGCTTGGCCGGGCTCCGGGGGGCAATGGGGCTCAGGGTGCTCCAGAAATGGATGGTGGGGGGCAGGGAACTCGGGGTGAGCAAGACCGGCGTCTGCAAAGAAACACAAAGGCATGTCAGATCTGGGACAGAAAGAAAACAAATACACTTCCGAGGGACTATAGGCTAAACTGCCGAGGCTACCAGTTTGGTTTCTTTTCCCCCTTCCTTTATTGCAAGAAGACAGAAGTCAAGATTAATGGATTAAACAACAAAAAAACATCCCTCTTTCTCACGGGACTCCTTTCCATTGTCGTCACCCCACCTGGGAATAGTCGGGCCTCTAGGAAGTGGATGCGGTTTTAAGAGGTTTAAAATGATACTGCTTTGGGGGTGGATCACCTCTTTGGATTTCTTAAAAACGTTTTGTCACTTGTTGTAGTTGCACACACATTACTGGAAAGCAGAGGACAGGCTGTCATATCTTTAATTTTTTTTTTTGCCGTCAAGTCACAGCTGACCTATGGCGACATCATAGGGTTTCCAAGGCAAGAGACATTCAGAGGTGGTTTGCCATTGCCCGCCTCTAAGGAGCACCCTTGGTATTTCGTAGAGGTGGGGTGGCCAAACTGCGGCTTGGGAGCCGCACACATCTCTTTCACACATATTGTGTGGCTCCCAGCGGGGCAGCTGGGGAAGCGAAGGGGAGGCATGTTTCCATGATTGGTCTTCCCTTCCCCTTCCCTGGGTAGGCTTGAGCTGCGGGGGAGCAGAGAAAGAAAGCTACTTTAAATGTGTTCTTAAAGACACATCCACCCTCCCGGCCGGCTCGGAGAAGGCATTTGTCTCTTTAAGCCCCTTCTCCAAGCCAATCCAGCTGGTGTGGGGGTCTTGGAAGATGCATTTAAAGTTAAAGTTGCTTTCTTTCCACCTCTCCCTCCCTCCCATCTATTTGCTTTCTTTACACTTCCTTTCTTTCCACCTTTCTTTCTCTCTCTCTTTCTCCCCTCCCTCCCCATCTAATCATTATCAATATAATCATTTACCCCTTTTGTTTTTATTTTTGGCTGCCTCATTTAATGTCAAGAAAAAGCAACGTCGCATATTTTTCTATAAAAACATGTGGGTTATATTTGTTCCTGTCTTGTGGCTCCCAAACGTCTGATGTTTATTCTGTGTGGCTCTTATGTTAAGCAAGTCTGGCCACCCCTGCCTTAGAGGTCTCCCATCCAAATACTAGGCGAGGGTGATCCTACTGAGCTTCTGAGATCCGCTGAGATTGGGCTAGCCTGGGCTATCCAGGTCAGGGCACAAGAAGAAATATTGGGAGGGGGTGACAGAGACTGGCAAAAAGTGGTCCTCCCTTGCACCTGATCCCCTTTGAAGACGGGACAGAGGATAGCAGTCTGATACGTCTTCTCCCCAACCACACAAAGTGGACTCCCAGCAAGCACCTCTCTCACTTCTCGGTTGGGCGACTGTAGGGTTAATTGCTGGTACTGGAGGCCAGATGTGGCACAGAGGTCCCCAGCTGCCGATTCCGAGCCCACCGACCTATACATATATCTTTGGTATTGTTATAAAGGTGGGTACATGGGGGGGGAGCTGCGGTGGCTCAAGTGGTTAAGACGCTGAACTGCAGACCAGAAGGTCGGTAGTTCCGCAGTTCGAGACCCGAGTGTGCCGCGTGACGGAGTGAGCTCCCGTCTCTGGTCCCAGCTCCTGCCAACCTAGCAGTTCGAAAGCAAGAAATTGCAAGTAGATAAATAGGTACCACTTCGGTGGGAAGGTAACAGCGTTCTGTGCGCCTCGGCATTTAGTCTTGCCAGCCACATGACCACAGAAATGTCTTTGGACAGTGCTGGCTCTTCAGCTTGGAAACGGAGATGAGCACTGCATCCCTAGAGTCGGATTCGACTGACTTTTGAGCAAGGGAAATCTTTTGAGAGAGGGCCTTTTCAGTGACAGCCCCACAATTATGTCTGTTCTGTCTTGAAACAGCTGCATGGGCTGCCGGTTGAATTCCGGATCAAATTCAAGGTGCTGGAAATTACCTTAGAACCCAAAGCAATCTAGGACCTCCATACCTGGCAGACTGCCTCTTCTGACATCCCCCCCCCCCGCGAAATTTGCGTTCTTCAACTTGCAACTTGCTTGTGGTGCCTGGCCCTTGGAATATTTGCCTGGCATCAACGAGGACGAGGGCCTTCTTTGTGGTGGCCCCATTCTGGTGGGATCAGCTGCGGGACTTATCTAAGTTTCACAGGGCCCACAAAACAGAGCTCTTCCGCTTGGCATTTAGTTAGTTGGGTTTGTTATGTGGGCTGCTTTTCAGTTTTATTTGTATCATGTTTTTTAAACTGAGATTTTAATGTTTTAATGGTTGTTAGCCACCTCGAGACCACCCGACGACGAGGGGTGGCATATAAATTTAATAAATAAATATAGAACCACCTCTCCAGGGAGGTTTCCCTGGCCCTCTCACTTTCAGTCTTCAGGAGGCAGTTTTATTTAGGATTGCTTTTGACTCATTTAGTTTCTATTTAGTAGTTTCTATTTAGTAGTAGTCCTAACTGGAAATTTTAAACTGTGGGCTTTTACGTTTTTATCATTATTGCTTTATGTCTATCGTAAGCCCCCTTGCGTTCCACAAGGTAGAAAAGTGGCTAACAGATGTCTTAAATAAATAAATAGAAACAAAACTTGGTGTTTGGGGTGGAGAGGAGTTCAAACATCCTGTTCAAGCCAAGCACGCCCCTGACAAAAAGGGATACTTGACACGGATGCCTGCATTGTATCTGGGAGACCCAGGCTCAAATCCGCCCTGCGCCACAGAAGGGTTATCCTGAGATAGTTCCTCTCTCTCAGCCTAGCCTACCTCACATGGTTCTTGTTGACGGGATAAAATGGAGCAACGGAAGAATGATTTTGTAAATAAATGAATCGATCAATGGCGCCCCCAGAGCGGTCGACTGGGCCCTGGGGACAAACATGGTCTCACCAATGCGTGGGAAGAAATAACCGTGGTCGGAGTCAGGGTACTCCCCGTCCCGCCAGGCGCCAGAAGACTGTTCACAGCGGCGTTCACTTTCTCCTGGGTGGGCAGTGATGGCAGCTCCAGGACTTTTGGCTTCTTGCCCTTTTGGGGCTGTCCCTCCACAGAGACAGTCGCCGGGCTGGGCGACTGGGCTTCCTCCTTCAGCAGTCCGGGCCCCTCCTCAGCCTCCAAAGAGGCCTTTTCTGAGGGAGCGGTCTCCTCCTTCTCCGCAGCGTCCATCAGAACCAGCAGAGCGGCGGCTTCCTCTTCCAGGTCCAGGTTTTCCTCCTCTACCTTCACCAGCACCTTCTCTTCAAGAGGGGACGCCTCCAAGGGGGCGGGCTCTACTATGACCTGGGGGAGCAGGAAAAAAAAAAGGGGGTGGGAGGTTCCCTGAGTATCAGTCAAGCAAACTCACCACAGCTCCCTCAACTTAGGCTAATATCCCACATGAACCAAAGACAGACCTTATATTCATCTCCCAAGTTAATGTGATGACCTTCCAAATGAAAATAGGGTTGCCAGGTCCCCTCGGCTTGCCAGCAAAGGGATTTGGGGGGTGTTCTGGGGGGCGGAAACATGACATGACGTTCCCAACGTGATGACATCACACAGAAGTGATGTCATCACACCAGGGTTGGCATGTGGCAATTCCCTGCATTTTGGGCAAAACTCTATGGGTTTTTCGGCCTAAAACCATAGATTTTTGCCCCAAAAAGCAGAGTGTCACCGTTTAGGTCTCAACATGATGTCACTTTCGTGTGATATCATCACATTGGGGACATCACCGTGTGACATCCCTGCTTGGGGGCCAGGCTTCCCCCGCCGGCCAGCTAGTCAGTGGCGGGCAGAAGCCCAAAAAATCAGGGGAAGCCCTGGAAAACCGATGTGAAAATGGGGTTTTGTGTCTCACTTAGGGTTACATACAATAGTATTTAAATATTTTCAGTTTAAAGCAAAAATAAAATAGCAATCCCCAAATATTTTCCCCATCCCAGCCCTGTCACTCTTTCTCAGCCAAAGCTACCTCACAGGGTTCTTGTTGCCAGGATAAAATGGGAGTAGGGGAGAAGGCCGGCGTAAGTGGCTTTGGGTCCCCACTGGTAGGGTTGCCAGCTCCAGCACAAAAGAGAGCCTCCTCCTTGCTTAGGGTTGCCAGCTCTGGGCTGGGAAATATGTGGAGATTTTGGGGGTGGAGCCTTGGGAGGATGGGGAGGGACATCAGTAGGGTATAATGTCATTGAGTCCACCTTCCAAAGCAGCCATTTTCTCCAGGCGAACTGACCTCTGTCGTCTGGGAATCAGTTGTAATCCCAGGAGAACCCCAGCCAGCACCTGGAAGCTGGCAACCCTGGTCTCACTAGTTTAAATCGATACCGGAGACGTTTGTTGGACTTTGAAAAGAAAAAGTGTGACTGGAAACCAGCACCATTTTCTTCCATTTTTGGTGGCAGCCCCAGTTACGGAACCACCTCCCCAGGAAGGTACCGTGGCCCTCTCGCTATCTTCAGGAGGCAGCTGAAGACGGTTTTATTTAGGACTGCATTTGACTGATTTAGTTATTTTAGTGTTGCCAGGTCTGGGCTGGAAAGTACCTGGAGACTTTGGGGGTGGATCCAGGAGAGGGCGGGGTTTGGGGAGGGGAGGGGCCTCAGCCTGATGCAATGCCATAGAATCCACCCTTCCAAGCAGCCATTTAGGGGAAGCCAAAAATGAGAGATCGTGGGAGGAAGTGGAATTCCAAAAACAACATCCGTGACAAAAATAACGAAGAGTCAATAAAGATAAGTTGCAAAATTGTTTACTGTAGTAATTTCTGTAGAACATTTTCTTCTATATTAGTGTGTGAGCGATAATAGAAGAAAACTTTCTACAGAAATGACTACAGTAAACAATTTTGCAACTTATCTTTATTGACTCTTCGTTATTTTTGTCACGGATGTTGTGTTTGGAATTCCATTTTCTCCAGGGGAGCTGGTCTCTGTCAGCTGGAGGCCAGTTGTAAAAGCGGGAGATCTCCAGGCCCCACCTGGAGGCTGGCAAACCTAAGTTATGCATTAGATCCAGTCTGTCAGCCGTGTTGGTCTGAAGCAGTACAACAGATTTAGAGTCCAATGGCACCTTTTTAAAAAATTTATTGGGAGTCTTCATTGCAGATTTGAAATAGTGACCTTTTATGTGTTTCTATAACTGTTGCTCTATTGATACTGTTTTCATTTTTAGTTTCTTTTAATAATCGTTTTCTTTATATTCTAAGCTGCCTTGAGTTCCGCAAGGGAGAAACGCGGCTAATAAATGCTTTAAGCAAATAAATAAATGCTCTGTGCATCTAAGACACGGACACCGTGCAAGCTTGAACAGGATTTGACTTCACGTCCTGAGGCGTCTCCTCTTCCTCCTCCTCCTCCTGTATTTATTTGTTTTTTGGTAATGCCTGAAGGAGAGTTCTGGAGAATTCAAAAAGACACATACTGCTTTTGTATCCTTTTTCTGGTCCTAAAAGAAGGTATTATGTGGACTGTATACCTGGTCTAACCTCGCTTTCAATTCTGCTCTGCCTTTCAGTTTAAAGTAAAGGTAAAGGTTCCCTTACTCGAAAGCCAGTCGAATTCGACTCTAGGGTTGCGGTGCTCATCTCCGTTTCAAAGCCGAAGAGCCAGCGCTGTCTGAAGACATTTCCATGGTCATGTGGCCGGCATGACTAAACACAAAGGCGCACGGAACGCTGTTACCTTCCCACCGAAGTGGTACCTATTTATCTACTTGCAATTTCTTGCTTTCGAACTGCTAGGTTGGCAGGAGCTGGAACTAGAGACGGGAGCTCACTCCGTCATGCGGCAACTCGGGTCTCGAACTGCTGAACTACCGACCTTCCACAGCCTGCAGTTCAGCGTCTTAACCACTTGAGCCACCGCAGCTCCGCCTTTCAGTTTACCAGGGACTAAATTGTCTACTTTGGTCTCCTTCTGTACCTCAGAATTCCTTTGCTGAATCAGATCCAAAACCCTAATTAGGCCAATATCCAAGTTCCTACCAAGGCCTGCCAGGTACCTCTGGCAAGCTACGAGAGAGTACAAGGCATGAGCCATCCTGCACTATTCATCTCCACCACTTGGCACTCCGGGCCTACCTACAGGTAACCAGCCCCTTGGGCCTGCTCCAGTCTTGTCAAGTGGACACGCTCTGGGAGTTCCATGCTTGGAACTTCACTCCCAGGTCATGTGGGCTCAGTTTTGACTGGGACAACAATGTGTAGGCAGAGGGGGCTTTTAGCTTTCTCGCTTGCACCATTTTTCCAAAGCAGAGGTGGATCCAAGGAGCCACTGTTGCCCTCTTGGGGAAACCTGAATGTGTGGCTCATCAGTACAGGTAAGTTTTCCCAACACAGCTGATAGCAGGGGTCATTTCGTAGAAAAAGAGGTAGGGGGACTCATTAGCATAACTCATTAGCATATGCCACACCCCCTGACATCACAGGAAGTGTGTCATAAGGCCACACCCCCTGACATCACCGGAAGTGTGTCATAAGGCCACACACCCCGCCCCCAACGGTCCCGGCCGCCGCTGGCGGCCTTGCAGCCCCCCAGC